TTCAACCCGTCCTTCTGCATTTTTTTATTATCAAGGTTATTTGACTGTGGCTGCAATGTGATGGATGGTCTAAACTTAAAATTTGAAGTTCGAAGTTTGAACTGCAAAGTTGTGTAAGGCTATTTAACCCGAATTGACGGTTCGCGGCCTCCTAATTTTCAGGAGTGGTGCAATCTCCTTCTTGAGGCGTTTTGGGATGTACTGGTGGTTTAAGGCTTTAAGGCTTTAAAACGAAAGATGAAATTCTAGTTTTTTCTTATGACTTTCCGATTTTTAAGAAAGTTCTGTAACTCTGTTTAGTTTTTTTGGTGCATTTCTTTTCTTGGTGTGTTCCTTTTTTGCGCTGTTTGCTTGTTTGGTGTTTGCTCTATGAAAATTGGTAGAGCAGTAGGGCTATAAATTGTGAGAATATTGCGGCTAAATGTTCCGTGGGTTTGTTTAACTTGCCGCCCAAAGCTCTACTGCGAGGCGTAGGGCCTCGATATGCCCTACAGGGCCTAATTTTCACACAGTCGGCCGCCCTACAGGCCGTTGCGCAGTGAAGGCAGGCATGACCGAGGCCCTACAGGCCATTTCAGGGTCACCACGCGACTGGGGAAATTCAGGCAGTTGTGCAGCGCCAGTCGGTTGGAAGCACCCAGGCCCAGGCTGCCTCTCATTGCATGTAACTGAGGCAGGCCCTGGGCCGGATACACAAAGTGGACCGAACAAAGGCTGAGGGCAGTTGGGTGCTGGTAACCGCCACAGGCCCTGGGCCTGTTTCCTTCGGACTGAGGCTCAGCCTCCCTGGGCCTACCAGAAGCTTCTGGGCCGGGGCCTAGTACCGCTGCACAGCACGCAGCAGCAGGCCACTTCAATATAGGGAAGGGCCTGGCCACACATTGGACATTCGGGCACTGGCTGCTTTGTGCGCGAGCGCTGCTGCGCTATCGCCTGCCAGGCTCATGCGCTGATGGGCGAGCTGGAAGGAGCAGGCAGCCATAGCCGAGCTGCGCTGCTGTATGCTGGATGGGGCGCATGGTGGTCCTTGGGTGCAAGTGGCATCTGTGAGTTGGGGAACGAGGTTCTGAGTGATACGAGAGACATACCTGGTGCTTGAAGCGTGCGGCATTGGCCGAGATCTGCTCGTACTTCGGGGAGCTGTTGACGTCATCAGCGGCATTGTAGAGTAGGCTAGATAGGATCGGCCATCTGTAGTCTGGGCGCCGAGCGCCAGATAGGATATCAACATTGGTTCTTCATTGATGATGATGATGATGAGACTATTCCAACATTGTCAATTATGAGCTTTTGGTGTGCTCTTATTTGGTGAAACTCGTGATGCAATTCTGCTTTTGGTTCGAGGTCACGACTATCTGGTCTCATGTGTATGATGCTGTTTGATTGCTGAAGTTCGCTATTGCTCATCTTCCTTGCACTACCAAGTTTAGCATCTCGTTCTTGAAAGTAGTGTGAAAATAAAATGAGAAAAGAAAAACAATTCGTTAAAAAAAAAAAAAAACAGAAAACAATGCACGGAAATTTCCAAAAGCAGATGTGTTATGGCGCCTGAGGAGGGAATCAGGAGGGAGAGAGAGAGAGAGAGAGAGAGAGAGAGAGAGAGAGAGAGAGAGAGAGAGCTAACGTGAATGAATCTTACCGTCGTCCAGCGGTAGATTCATTCGACATTCGATTCGAAAAGACCAGCAGAAGAGAGAGAGAGAGAGAGAGAGAGAGAGAGAGAGAGAGAGAGAGAGAGAGAGAGAGAGAGAGAGAGC